ATAGATGCTGAGAGGTTTCCCTTTGTGGGAGAGAATCTAGGACCAGTGGGCATAATCTCAGAGTGAAAGGTCCATTTAAGATGGAGATGAAGATTTTTTTTTCTGAGAGGTAGTGAATCTGTGGAATTCTTTACTGCAGAGGATTGTAGAGACTGGGTCATGAAGTGTATTCAAAGTCGAGACAGATTTTTAATCAGTAAGGTGGTCAAGGTTTAAGAGAAAAAGGCAGGAAAGTGGGAATGAGGATTACCATAGATTATCGCCTTGATTTCAATGAATGGTAGAGCAGACTTGATGGCCTACTTATGATCCTCCGTCTTGTGAAATTCGTTGTTCGGGGATAGAGGGACAGTCCTGTGCACGAATTAGAGGATACAACTGTATCAAGGTCACTCATACTAATGTGAAAGTCTGAGAACAGACCTCTAGCTCTTCTCCTTTCTTGACCGCAGGATAAACGTAGCGGAGATTGTCACTGCATTAGATTAGTGAATGAAGCTTTGTTAGCCACGTAGTTTCTGCAGGTTAGGGAAAATGTTTAATGAATAATAAATTGAGCGCTTTGTTGACTTATCTTCCTCCACTTTTCTACCTTTGTGTTCGTATCCATGTCTCGTGTGTTTAGATTAATTTCAAAGATTGCCGCAACTTTTGTGATGTTTTATGGCTGAAAGCTTTTCTAAAAGTAAATTTTGCAACCAGTCAAAAGTCTATTCCCTGAAACATAGGACAACTTGAGCCATAGTTATTGCTACTGTTTTTAGCCGGACATTGAGTTGATGGTAAAATGGACAGAACATGAAGAGTGAATCATATAGTTTTTGTGGTGTTCTGTTCACAATCTACCATATTAAAGCAATACTGCAGTTTAAAATAAACCTGAAATTTGAAACAGGAAACACTCAACAGGTTGTTAATTTTTGATTATTTTAGATTGTTTTATTACTACTTTTCAGACTGCAAGTTATCATTGCCATTAATCAATTGATATCCCTCTGTTTTACATCTGTATGAAGTACCTTGGGCTGTTTCTTCTGTCTTAAAGGTTAGATTGCATTTGGTCGTTTGTGATGTTCCTGCCTTCAAAATGGAAATTGTAAGCTGTTGACTGTACAAGTGGTAAAACAACAGTTGAATATGCTTTAATGTGGGACATCTTATTGATGAGGACTAAACAAAATACATTTAATCCTCAATCTTATTGAGCCTGCTTCTTTTTAAACAGAAGGATAGTATACTCTGAATTTACCAGAGTTACAGCACTGCTAGAAATAATGTTTGATTCACAGCTATTTCTGCTCCAGGTAAAAGTAGACGAAAAGTAAAAGCTTTTCACTCCGTTGGTAATTTAATTGAGATTGGTTCCCGTATTTGGGGCTGTTTGAAAATTGTTGTAAAAATTTGTCTGCAAAAGTGGTACCAATTTCAAGTTTTATATTTAATCGCATTCACCGAAGGTTTGATTTTCTCTATCAATATGTGCCAGTAGAGAATGTTTAGTCGAATTTTGAGGACGTGAGTGCTGAACCTACTGAAATTTCCTACTAATTCACCAGTTATTTTTTTTCATTATTGTTGATAAGAGTTCAAGATGACATAGGAAAAAAACATTCTGATGTAATTACTTTATAGACAGTTCTAGAAACAAAGGAGTACAGCATCAACAATCCATAAGTGGTGAAGAGAAAGTAGCTGGGGAAGCTATTCTCTCTATTTTGCATAGGTCCACAAGATAATTGTTTAAATAAACATTTTCAAAAGGAGAAAAACCAAGCAGAAACTGCATTTTGTACATTAATGCACCACCTTTTGCATATGAGTATCCCAGAACTTTTTGTAGAGGTGTAATCAGGCATAACAAGGAAGGCACAATTAGATTAAGTGGCTAAAAGTTTGCTGACAAATGTGGGTTTTAAAAAGGGTCTTAAAGGCCTTGGTAAGGCAGCAGGCTCTGGGAAAGGAGATGGGACTTGAGCAGCAGATTGGTAATGGTTAGGGTTGATGTGGAGGATTCCTTCTAACAGTTTCGGAGGAAACAAAATTTTCAGTGAGTTTGAGGGGTGAGACTATGAAGAGATTGTGTTCAATCATGAGAATTTTAAATTGAAGGTGTTAGATCTGATGGACAGGAAGAGAGTAGCCAACGTAAGCTTTGGTTTCTTCGTGAAACTAGAGAAAATTAAAAATGGGAATCTAGGAAATGACAGAATTTGGAACAAATATTTTGTACCCACCCTCAACAGTAGAATATACAGCACAGCACAAGAGTAGAAGAAAAACATGAGGCAAGGAGGAATGAGAACTCAGGGGCACAGTTTAGCAATAAGGGACTTCCTATTGAGAAGATGAGGTGGAATTTCGTCTGAAACTTGTTAGCCTTTTCCAGAGAGCACTTGAGGCTAAGACTTTGGTTATTTTTGACGCTGAGTAAGGCACATCAATGATCAACAAGGAAGGGTAATGGAGGTCAGACAGGAAAGCAGAGTTGAAGTCACCATATGATTAGCCATGACTTTTTTGAAAGAGCATGTATGATGGGCCGAATGGTCTACTCCTTTTATTCCTACTGATCTTAGGATCTTTGCTTAGAATACCAAATGCAGGTGTGTGAATTGGTAATAAATATATACCTGAGACAGAAAATATGCCATAACGAGCGTTATAACACAAAAGTGACCATTTTCAAATCTTTCCATTTAAAAGTATGGGTTAATAGACTAATACAAGTGAAAAATGAAATTCCGTATTGTCAACAGTTAAGCAATGCACTACCTTTTAAAATTTTAAGGTACAGTAAATCATAATGAATCTATAGAATACATTTGAAGACACTCCTGGTTTCTCAGGTTCTTACTTAATCTGTGGCTTGGAGACCATAAGAGCTACAAATGCTGGAAACCAGTGTCTATAGGTGTGAGGCTAGAAAAGCACAGCAGGTCAGACAGCATCCAAGGACCAGGTAAGCCAATGTTTCAGGCCTAAACCTGATGAAGGGTTTTGGCTCAAAACATTGATTTAGCTGCTCCTCGGATGCTCTCTGACCTGTTGTGCTTTTCCAGCCTCACACCTGTAGACTCTTACTTAATCTGTACCTTTTACATCAGTACTCTCCAAAATATTTGCCGACATTACTTCATTTTACATGTGCACGTACACTGAATTACTTCCTCTTACTGTTGCTAACATCATTACATCCTGATTGTAGCAGAAAATGGCAGGGATAACCAATTGTGCCTCCTGTTATCTACCTTTCTTAATGTATGGCTAACTAGAAATGTTATATGTGCTTCAGTTGTGCAAAACTGTTCCTACGGAAAGTTATGTTATGTGGTATTGTAACCAAATTTAAACTTTGGTTTGTGGCCAAATCACCTTTTCATCTGACCTCAGAAACTTAAAATAAGAATGAACCTCAGTACTTGGATGGAAGAAACTGGTTTGTGATTTGTTTAGTCACCTACCACTGAGCATGCTCTGTTAAGGATCCATGTGATCCAAACATTAGGATTTCCTGAAAATTTAATTAGTTTCATTTAATGCTTTCTGTTTAAATTTCACTGCACAATACTCATCGCAGTGGTAAAAATGGCACTATAACTACAATTCTGATCTTGTTTTCTTCTTCACAAACAACTCCAGCAACGGCTTTGGCAAGGAACACAGGAACAGGAGTAGGCCGTTCAACCCATCGAGCCTATTCAATGCGATCATGGCTGATTGAATACTTTGGTGCCTTTTACCCACCCCATCCCAATAGCTCTATGTCACTGGTAATCAGAAATATATCAATCTCCGAGTGTGTCAACCTCAAAGACTGAGCTTCCACAGCCCTTGATGGTAGGGAATTCCAAAGTTTCACAACCCCGGAATAAAATTATCTCTCTTCATTTCAAACCTAAACGGCACCCCATTTGTTTTTAAAATTGTGGGCTCTGGTCTAGACTCCCAAACCAGGGGAAATATCTTACCTGCATCTGCCCTTTCTATCCCTCTTAATTAATTTGAGTTGCAATGAAATCATATCTCATTCTCTAGAGTTTCAAAGAATACGAGCCCAGTTTCATGGGACAGCCCCATCATCTGGGAGCAAACCTTTGTTGCACTTCACCTAGGGCAACAATCTCTTTCCTGAGATACAGTAACCGCACACAGTACTCCAAGTGCAGTCTAACCTAGCACAATAGAACAAAAACTCCACTACGCCTACGCTCAAATTCCTTTGCAATAAAGGCTAACATTTCCATTAGCCTTCCTAATGTCTTGCTGCACTTGCATGTTAGCCTTCAGTGACTCTACAAGGACACCTAGGACCATCTAAACATCTACACTTTCCAACCTGTTCCATATAAGTTTCATGTCTTTGTTTTGGCTGTATAGTGAACTTAATTGCTTCTATATAATGAAAAACCCATTTGTGATAGTTTACTGATTTGGAAAGCTGGTTCTGTAACTCACATGTATACCTTTTGCAGGTTCAAAAATCAGGGTTGGAATGAGGTGACAAGGGCTTTGTAGAATTCATAATTGGTTAAGGCAGTACAAAATGTATCGGTTTTAATGGTGCATAACTTTGAAGTAACTTGACTTCTAGTTTAAGACTAGTATTGCTGCTGTTTGTGTTAGTGATGAGAAAACTACAGAGCTGAGTCAATAACATTTCCATTTTTTTGTATATTGTTGATCTTTTGACCAACGAAAGCAGTTTAATTGTTTCAATTGTGATACTTTCTCTTAAAAAAAAAAGCATGAATAGCCAACAATATATATTTATAAAAATAAAAGGGCAAGGAAACCGTAAAATGCTTTCTTAAGGGGTGTAATAGAATTTAAGTTACATACATTATAAGCTGCAGAAACAGGCCTCTTGGCCTATCTAGTCTGTTATGTGTCATCTTGGATTTATCTACATTGAAGTTTCTTTGTGATTTAACTTTCCTATCTGCAAGTTTTCTAAACTTAACCTTTACAAGATAAGCAATCTGCTCTTTCTTTTGTTACAGTTCGTTCTGTCTGGCTCAGATGACTTTAATCTGTACATGTGGCGCATACCTTCCAGTTTGGAGACAGGTGAGTTATATATTAACCTTCTGTGACTTACTCTGATTTTTTTTTTTATATCTCATTTTGTGGAAAATGAAGAACATATGATAGCTGTTTTGGAAGAGAAACTCAGGCTGATGTTTGTGTAGACATTTTTCCAAATACATAATGACTAGAATGAATTTGTTTTTTTTTGTCAAACTTGACTGTGAAGTTTTTTTTAATGCAAGCCTGGACTAATGAGAGGAGTGTCCTTGATCTTCCAACTGTAAAGGCTGTCTTGAAATGGATTTAATCAGTCTCCTAGTGATGGTGTACAAAACTTTACATTGTTTAATGTTATCTTAGTAGTCTCATTCCAACTATGGGAAATTTTTCAAAAAAGACTCTAGTCCTTGACAGCTGCTCTAACTTTCAAATTGGAAAATGCTTCTCCACCATTTTGGGTAAGGAAAAGTTAATTTATTGAAAGTGGGGATTTTTTTCCCTTCTGTAGCCCATTTAAATTTCCTTGCTCCACTCCTCCTCACAAAGCGAAATGTGTTAAGTATTCTGAAAAGCGCTCCATTGTAGAAACTCTGCCTGAGTTGAGTGCAGAACCTGAACTAACTTAGGAGAGCCGAACAACTTCATGATCAACTTGAAGCAAGAAAGAGGATGCAAATATTGGAATTCAAATAATACACAGCAAATATTCAGAGTTAGCCGTCAGGTTTATCTTACAAGACACAACACTGGAGAAACTCGGCAGGTCTGGCAGCATCAGTGGGGAGAGAAACAGAGCTGACGTTTTGAGTCTGTGATGACTCTTCTAAGGAAGTTTCTACAGCGTTTTGTTTGTTTCAGATTTCCAGCATCTGTAGTATTTTGCCTTTATGCATTTCTGATTAGATGGTTCTGCTTCTTCTGAAGATAAGCTGGAATAAAAGGCAGACTAAAAATGTTTTAATTATCATAAAAATGTTCATAAATAAATGAAAACTGTCAAAAATATATTTCAGTGAATTCTAAGTAGCCTGTTGTTATCCTGTCCAACAATTCACGTGCAACAACAACAAACACGGAAATTGCTGGGAGAACTCAGCAGGTCTGGCACTGTTTGTGGAGAGAAAGCAAACTTTCGGGTCTAGTGACCCTTTTTCAGAACTCTTGCAATTTCTGTTTTTGTTCCTGATTTTCAGCATCTGCAGTTCTTTGGGTTCTGTTTTTAGAATTCGTATGTATTCTAGACAATGCAAATTTGAAAATGCTGCTTGCTTGACAGCCTGATGGACAACGGCGAAGGCTGTAGCCTAGATAAGTGTAGCTACTAGCTTAGTGATCATTACTGATTACATCTATCAGCTTCTTAACCTATTTTTCTAATCGACCTGTTCAGAGATGTTGTTGCGCACCTCTGGAGTAGGTGGGACTTTAACCCAGGTGTCTCGGTCCCAGGGTAGGGTTACTACCATTGCACCACAAGAGTCCCTTCTATCAGCTTTTTAACGTGCATCCTTTAATATAAATATTGGTGTACCAATTAAGCCTTGCCTCAATGGTAGCTTCTGATTAAGATGATTGTGTGTTCAAGTCCGATGCCAGGCATTTGAGTAGATCATTCAGCCCCACATGTCATTTGCAGGACTTGGAAGGTGCTACATTTCAGATGAGTTGTTAATTCCAAGTCTCCTCTATTGTTTATCTAGTATTGTGATGTGATGGGACATTGCTGCACATAGTTTGACATTTCCTACATAACAGCAGACTCATTGTTCTGAGATCATGAAAGGTCCACTATGCCAGCAATTTATTTTATTTTTCTGTTTCACTGCATCATTTCAATAGGTTTTGATATTTCCCATCTTCCCCACATAGAAAAATAAACATGGGGATATCCTGAAAAGCTGTTTTCAATGATTATTTTAAAATAATTACAATCCTGGTGAGGAACAATTCTAAATAAGTATTTAATATAGTAATTCCATTGTTACCTGACAGCAGTCTATATACTTCCTTGAGGTTTTTAAACACTGATTTAAGTTGTGGTAAATTCAAGTCATCGTCAACAATTGCTGTCTAGATATTTTGAGCTTTCAGATCTCTCACTGGAACATGTTTTGCTTGCTTCTAACTGCAATTGTAACTTCTGCCAATGGCAGTGCCATATTACTATTGAGTTTGTATTTGATTCTTGCCATCCTAAAGCAGGTCTGTGATGTGAACACTTAGTTTTGTTATTGTATTTATTTCAGATGTGCACTGGGAGAAGCCTTTAGTGCGCTTACGGGTATGTTTGATGTAGGAAAGGCCATGACTTTTGAAGTATCAGTTTGCAGCAACTGACTATATTAGATTATATCTTGTGTAGAGATGTGTTTTCTCCCAACTTCGTCCAATACTAATTTCAATGCCCACAGGTATAACAGAAGTTTTTATGTAAACTTGTCAATCGTAATGATATTTTACTGCTAATAGGGTTATTATGACCTGATTGTCTGAATAGCAGCAATCATCATCAGATTACTGCTCCACCTGAACACTTGATACTTTGTATTACTTGGCCTTATCAGAAATTCAGACTGCAGCATCCTCCAGAGAGCTCCATCGTAGTGGAGTAAAACTGGGGAAAGATAGAACAAACTTCCTTTGGATGACACTTGCTGTCTTATAAGTTTTAAAGGTCCAGTTTGAATGTTATTGATTGATTGGGTGAATGGATAGGGTGGAAGATGGTGGGTGTGTAAGATAAATGGATAGGATACGAGAGCCTAGGTTTGGGTAAATGCATTAATGTTATTCAAAGTCATGATATCTGCAGTGGGCCCTGGGAGCAGGGGAATTGCCCACTGGAAGTTCAAAGCTCTCATGCAGTTCCCCCAAAGGTCAACACATGTGGACTTCAGCGGGGTCACAGTGTATAGCTCTGGTAGTGCATCTGGTTTCCCTGTGATCCAGAGGATTTAAGATTTAACCCTACATCACCATTGGCAAGATGGTGTATTTACAGTGCAACAAATTTCCTAGACAGGTTCTGTTGTAAATGTAGATACAAAAATTCATAATATAAATTTAAGGATGTCATTATGACAAGAGCATGGAATTAAATCTCTAACCTGATCCAATTAATCCTGGAGTCAAATTTTCCCATTTTCTTCTCCATTTATTCATCTTTTTAAAAAAATTAGCCTAGAAATATAATGATCTATTACTGCTTGAAAAAAAGGTGCTTAAGGGAGTACACCTTTTCTCACAAACAGTATGAATTCTGCATTCATGTAGATTGACAAAATGAAGTTAAAATGCTGCCTCCTTGGTTTGTGAACGAATAGCACCACAAAATGGAGGGATGTAGATTCACTTTTCCCCGTCACTTGCTCTACTCTGTCTTTACAGTCATGTTGCTCTGGGAAAGTGACTCAGATGACAGAGGGATGGGTAGAGAAGTCTAAGCAAAAGTGTTTTGTGATGATTTGTTGGAGAATAGCAGCATTTGTATCCTTTGGGTGGTATAAATAAATTTTGGTGTGCTTTGCATGATAAAGAAAACATCCAAAATTGCTATTATAAGGTTCCTGCGATTTATATTTTCCTCCCCAGAAAACAATCTTTCGTGATCTTTTTTGGATGACATTACTAATTTGTAACAAATTCTGATCGACTTCGGTGTGAATTTGTGCCTGTCAGAAACTGCCCAGGCTCGTTTTATACAGAAATCGGTGGAGATTGACAGATTGAGTTTACTGTGAGCTCAAAATGAATACGTGGAGCTAAAATTAGGGCATGAATCTAATGGGCCTTCACCCATCATAACAGGAGCACCTTTAAGATGAAATGCAACATCTTGTTGCATCCTTGTCATGACATTGTTTGAGGTCCTTATGTTAGTGTACCAAACAGCTGCCTAAAGAAGGAGCCCGAGATAGTAGGAACTGCAGATGCTGGAGAATCTGAGATAACAAGGTGTAGAGCTGGATGAACACAGCAGGCCAAGCAGCATCATAGGAGCAGGAAAGCTGACGTTT